AACATGTATATACAAGATAATTAACTATCCACTATGCACAATCGAATTTGAAAACACATACAATACATGCTCTAAGTCCACAACTACTATGACATGACAAATGTCGAATCTTCAGTGTACGATTCGTTACACGTTATGGTAATCTCATTCAATATTGAAAACATATACTCATAAATCTAATACAAGTCCAAAATCATGATTTAAATATACAACCAATGTCAAATACATGATTATATATTAATGCAATAGAAACAAAAATTAATTAAATAAACTAATTAATTTCCCTAGGTTTCAAATCTCCACCAAATAATCCCTAATCAATATATGTTAAACAACATAGCATGGTCATTACAATAATCAAGTTAACAACTTAATTAAGCCAATGGGACCATTAAATAGATTTTAATTAATTCTTTTTATTAAAATCTCTAGATTTTTAAATTCATCCAAATACTTTCAAATTAACATAGGTTAGAGAACATGCCAAAGCCTACTTTAATACAACTATATGAATTAATCTTTCACAAAAAATAAAAATTAAATAAAAGTTGCAATTCTTATTCAAATAATTCAAATTTAATATATGTCAACAACCATACCAAGGCCTAAATTTCTAGCATGCCACAATTTAATTCTAAGTTACATATCATCATGAAAATTAAATCTTAAACATAGAAAATAATTAAATTAAATTTTAGAACTTGAACTAAGGCATGCATACAAGTTGTATAAGTATCTAAAATCATCAATACAACATTTAAATAAACCTAAGACATCCCCTACCTCAATTTAAGATGAAAATCTCAAAAGCCACCAAAATGAAACCGCTCCAAATCCGGCAATATTTCGGGGTTTTGTCGAAGACAACGCCGTGATCATTAAACCTCAAGGAAGACATACCAAAATTCTAACTTGACCTCAAACCCGAACTCAAAAAATGGCAAAAAACAGATTCTAATAAAGGAGAAAGATGCGCGTCGTCAAGACAAACACAAAACACAAAGGCATTACGACTTTTTAACAAAAGGAATGAGCTCAAAAGAAGAGAGAAAAGGTGGCAGCCCCATGGGCTTCCATGGCTGCCGGCCAAAGAGGGAGAAAGAAGATGCAAAAATGATTTTTCACTTTAAGACATTCTATTTATAGCAAAACCCTAAAAGTGCCCCAAAAGGGCCCCGCCCGGTCCAGAAAAGTGGAATTTGAGCAGACACGCTCAAACGGCAAAACTCCATGAATGAAAAAGGACCAAAATGATAAAATATGAATAACGGAAGAAACGGCGTCAAAAACTAAGTTCCGAGCAGAAAGATATGCCCCGAACAAGTTCAATAGCAATTGGGGCTAAAAACCCTGAAATTGGAGAAAAACGACCAAAAGGAAATTCTAAGAGTCCACGACTCGACGAAAAGTGAAAATGAATCCCATACGAGGATCCAGGCTCAAAACGAGACATTTTTACAATAACTTTCATTAATTGCACAAGGGCCCCTCCAAAAAGGATTAACTGCACTAATGACCCAGAATGAAAATATCTTCAAAAAATATTTTCTTAAAAACCCCTGAAATAAAATATCTTCAAAAGATATTTATGAAAAATACCTCAAGAAAAGGAAATATTTCTGAAGAATTATGCATCCATGCCTCTATGGATACCGGGAGCAAACAAAGTACTTTTCTACAAAAGTAAGATACGTATTTAATGGAAACCACATAGAATGAAGATATGTGAAGTCAAGAACTAACTCCGAGCACAAAAAGTAAGGTTGTGCCAAAAAGTGACAAACGGGGAAAGAGACAAAATAGGAAAAATGACGAAAAGTGAATAGTGTCAAAAAAGGAAAAATGTGGAAATGACTCGGTCCTTAAAGGAAGTTGTCAATACAAAGGAAAGAGTCTCAGAAACCATTTATAAGCACTCGAGACGACACTAAATGACGAGAAACCAAACACAAAATAGAAAAGACAACGGAAAAAATTTATTCATAAAATTTGAGGAAAAATAAAAGGAAGAAAATGATCAAGTCATTACATTAATCATTAATTATACCATGTATGTCACCAAATATATAAAATATTTTGCTGTGACGATAACATATTAAAACATGCAATTGTATGTTGTATGGGGTGGTACTGTTTTACTTACAACATCGAAGAAGTTAATGTTAGACCAAAGAAATTACAATTGCGTTACATACGCATTACTACCTAACATTACATGCATGGACACCCAAACCAAATTGATAGTATAACAAGATGTATATGGACATATATCATTTACATCAAATATATACTTAAACGTAAGACACAAAGTACCCACATATGTAGTGTAAGTTTACCCACTATAGCTTTTTCAAATTGTCTTAAACAGATGAATTGTGTGCGTCGCAGTTTCAGTATATAACTTTGTAAAAGATGTGGCCTTGTTCCAATCTAGTGGTAAGAATTTGATTATCACTTTTATGTACAACTTTTTCAGCAATTTATCCAATTGTGTATACACATATCAGTTTACTTACGTGATACAGAAAATTTCTTTCAAACACACTACATAAGTGGACATATATATATATAATTTCTTAATAACCATATATAGTTTCTTTCACCATCTCAAGCATATATTGTACGTAAATCGCAATATATTTTTATTTGAAATAGATTAAATTTATGCAGTATGGTCCATGTTGGCTCTGATACCACATTTAAGAATTTTCTAGTGTTTGAAATAAAATAAAAAATGAAAATTGAGCTGGATTTCATCGGATTTGAAATCCCATGAAATATGGTGGAATTTGATTGGATTTGTAAATTAGATTAGTTGAGATTTTGTTACTTTACCAAATTGGCATTCATTTTAGCGCAACATAAGATTGCAATTTTAATTAATAAGGATAAAATGGTAAAAAAAAAAATCATTTATAATTAAATTCCGGCTTATTCCAAACACATAAATGAAATTTCATTTCAGATACAATCACATTCATTTTCTCTTACCAATTCCAAATCCCAAAATAATTTGGTTCCAAACAAAGCACTCGAATCATATTTCAATAGCAATTCATACCCGCTAAATGAATTAAACTGACATTCTTAAATTCTTGTAATGTCTATGTGATAGAGTAGTCTTGTTCCACATTAAATTTGAATGAGAAAAAAAATGAATACTTAAAAACGAGTTAGATGAGTCTATGACTAGATAACTATCTAGTCCCATTCATTTGATAAGCTGTATCCCATCATAGGACTACTTCATCAAGACAATTTCTTTTCTTTTCTTCTTCTTCTTCTTCTTCTTCTTCTTCTTCTTCTTTTTTTTTATTTTTTTATTTTTTTTTCAGAATCTACTTTAAATTCATCAAAGAGAATTGCACCATCATTGAAACTCACTCCTCTTTTCTCTTAATACTTTAAATAATGTGCAAGGACTGCATTTCGTCCGTTGCAAGTAGTGCGAGAGAAAAAGAGGGCTCTTTTGAAACAAAAAGTGGAATTGTGAAAGTATTATTATAGAATTGGAATTCAATTCGTGCAAATAATGTTAAAAGGTTAAGTTCAAATCTTACCATTTGTCAATTATTAAGTCACATCTTTTTCAGCATCCATGCACAATGTATAATGAATCAAATGGGAGCTACATCAATTGGATGAAAAAAGCTAATTTTTTTATATTTAATTGTATTTTATATCAAAATTCTCTAGGTCCTTCAAGTCACCTAGTGGTAGGAGGAAAAGATAAGAAAAGTCTAATTATAATAAAAAAAAATATCTTTCCTTTGAAATTTTGCTTTTCTTATTTCCACTCAGCAATCAAATGGGGTGGTAGAAATTATTTGATTAGGTGTTAATTTCTTGTGTGAAGTTGAAGTGAAGGAAGAAAAAAATGATTAATTTTTAACCTTGTTTAGGTTTGAATTTAAGATAAAGGCCATATCACTTTCCTATTACTTTTTTAGACCCAACGAGCTTTATGGCTTTATCTACCAAGAAAAGAACAAAAGCAGAAAAAAATGGAAACGAAAAATATAGCTTTATAGCTTTATAGCTTTAGCAGAACAAAACAAACCATTTATGTTTTGTGTAGTTGTCTTTCTATTATTTGTTTGTGCTTTTCCCTTCAATTATTTTTGTACTGGTAGAATCTTTTCTTGGCAGAGAACAGAAATCTATCCCCATCTCTCTTTTTTTTTTAATATTTTTTATTTATTTATTTATTTTTTGGAACTTAAATCTATCCCTATCTTCATCTCACACAATTAAATCATGCAACTTAGAATCTCAATTTTCCAATGCAACTAAACACAAGGTGACACAAGGTATATGTTAATCTACCTTTGTCTTGCTTGGTGGTTCCCTATTCAAAATTTTAGCATGTGTTTTAGTAATTTCTTAAGATGAACTATAAATTTGAATTTATATAATATTGTTGGTTGCTAGACCTTGAATCAATTCAGCAATCCATTTGTATAAATATAGTGACACAAGGTATATGTTAAGTTAATCTCCCTTTGTCTTGCTTGGTGGTTCCCTATTCAAAATTTTAGCATGTGTTTTAGTAATTTCTTAACATGAACTATAAATTTGAATTTTTATAATATTGTTGGTTGCTAGACCTTGAATCAATTCAGCAATCCATTTGTATAAATATATATATATTTATACAAATGGATTGCTGAATTGATTCAAGGTCTAGCTATATATATATATTTATACAAATGGATTGCTGAATTGATTCAAGGTCTAGCAACCAACAATATTGATTTAGGTTCTCTTATTCAAGAAACTGACTTAATCCAATCATGCATGATAAACAATAACCAAGTCTATTGTTGAATAGGGACAAACCACTATTACCCTTCATAGAAAAAGAAAATTAAAAAAATTTAATTGTGATTAAGATGGCCCCACTTCCACCAATCTAGAAACCCTAGACTTTTTTATTAGCCTAAGGTCCTAAATCAGACACCATTACAACTTTGTTAAAAGAAAGTGACAATGGACCAAAGAGTCATTAATGACATTGCCCCCACACCCACCTCTCTAGCTAGCTCCTCATACCCCCCTTAACCATTCCCTTTCCCCTCTCTTCCTCTCTCAATTCCCTCCAAAGAAAGGAATTATGCTTAATCCAGCAACTGAACTAGCCAGCAACCATGCCCATGCATTCAATCCAACCAGACAAAAAAATGACAGTTATGACAGTTGGGATGCTACTAGTTTTGGTGCCAAACCTCGAAAAACAGCCAAAAACTATGACAACTATAGGAATTCCAATGGTGGGGGAGTTCAGTTTAGACCTGATTGTATGGAAGATGAATCCGGTGTTTGTTCACCGCCTCTGTGGACAACAAGTCCATCTAGAAGTCCATTGCATCCGCGACATCCACACAACAGTTACCGCGCTCTATCTCCAAACTCAAGAGATCAAGAAATAGCCAGAGGTCAGTGGGAGCTTATGGAGATGGTCAAGAACATGCCTGAGTCATCCTATGAGCTGTCCTTGAGAGATCTTGTTCAGCACAGTAAAATGGAAGCTCAAGAAGAGTGTTTGCTTGAAGAGAAATTTTTTGAAAATGGATTAGTAAACCAAAGTGTGCAGATCAAGAGGCAAGAAATTAAGAATAGTGAATGGAAAGCAAAGATGATGAGAAGTGGAAGCATTGAGCATAGGGGATTGTTTCTTAAGATGGTCTTTCCAGTTTCTTTGGGATCAATGAAGAAAAAAAATTTAGGAAAAAAACCTTGTGCTAAAGTTTCTCCGAATCATAAGGCTACGGAAAAATCTCCAAAGGGTGTTGATAAAGAGTGGTGGAAGCTGAAAAGATTTTCCTTTTCAAGTGAGAGTGAAGCTGGTGGAGGAAGCAGCCCGGGTGGAAGCACCGGAAATAGTGGCAGCAGAAGTAGCAGTAGCAACAGCAGCAAAGGCAGAAGGTATGTTTAATCTCTGGAAAATTGTAATTTGGATAATTTGGCCAAGAATATATATATTTTTCACACCTTCATTTAGCTCTATCTAGTCAGATTGTTGGATTAATCAAATATTATATGAGTAAGTGAAACTTGAAAAAAAGAAGAAGCATGTTTCTAATGTTGTAGTTACATCAACCATTGGTATACTGGTCCAGAATTGATAATTGATTATGTTTCAAGCATGGAAAGTAGCCTGAGTGCCAAGTTCAATTACAATTCTTTATTTTAACCATAACTAGGAATTGAAGGCTAGTGTGTTCACTGATACCAAAAAGTGAAATCAGTTATCATTGTGGAATTATAGTTCAGCAAAGCTGTGAATCACTCCGGATAAATATGCAACATCTAGTATATGTGTGAATGATTATATAACTACCCAACTACACATTGTGACATTGGTTATATATATATATATATATATGTTTTAAATAGGTATTAGTCAATAGTTTCTTTGAGCATTCAAAAATTAAATCCACTTTACTCAGCTTAAAATTTTGGAGTTCAGATTCTAATTGAGTGGTTAATCTGCATCAATTAATTTGAATAATTGTAAAGAATTTTTGAATCTGAAATTTAAATGATATAATATCATATATTCATGATTGGCTAATTGTGATTTGTGGTTCTTGAATATAATGCAGGAAGAGGAGTGTTTTCTTACATGGGTGCTGTTACTTTTCTCACACCAAGAAGAGTATCTTCAAAGTGGAAAAGCAGACTACCACTAAATAATGTCTGGATGACCTAGCATATGCATGTATATTCTTTAAAGATTTTCACATACATGGTATTTCTATTTCTTTTTTCTTTTTTTCTTTTTCTTTTTTCATTTTATCAGTTTCCCAATTTTCATCTACTTTTGTTTGGCAAGAGAGAGAGTGTTGAGCTTTCTTAATTTTTCTTTTCTACTATAGCAATAGAACAATTAAATAATGTCATTCTCTGTCTGTCTGTTTCTTCTCTTTTTATCCAAAGCTCTGTTTTAAAACTAAAGGTGATTGAGAACTTCACAATCATTCCAAACTCAAAATAATTATAAGACTAAAAATGATAATTTCTCTTCTTTTTTCTTGTCAACTAAATGGCCATCAAAATCAAGGTTCATTGCATCACATAATTACATGATATATATATATATGTTTGATAGGTAAGTCAATACTTTTGCATTCAATACATATCATGATGTTTGTTATGAAAATGTTATTCAGTCCTATCTACCAGCAAGGACAAGTGGACAACCTTCTTTTTCTTGATTTTGTTTTCATCAGTGAAATGTCCCTTTCTGTCTTACTATTTTTTATCTCCCAAACAAAATTTTCATTTCATTAGTACTAAGCATGACTGATTTTAATTTCTTGAGTGCTATATATATACATATGTGCCCAAAAACTTGGATGACTTTGAGATGGATTGCTTGGTTGTGGTTTGGCCAGGAATACTGGAATAGTAGTGACCACTAACATTTTGGTTTCAAGCATTCATCTTAAAGTCAAAACATGGTTCAGAGTACAATATATATGAAGGGGACTCCCGTTAGTATTCAATTTTAGGTGTTGTGCTTTTCTAATAATGGAATTACTATTTTGTAAATTCCTTTAAGAAGGACCTTAATTTTTTTTTCTTTTTTGTAGGGTTAATATCCAATTTTTCCAGATTTGAGCATAAGATGCTCTTACTTAGATATTATAGGTAAAACATTTTTTGTTGTGCTAATAATTAATTGCTCTAAAATTACGTAAGGTACTAAAAAAACATAGCTTCATTTTCTATATGGTTTATAGGTGCTTTATGGCAAGCTCATGTCAATCATGGCCTTGCGTTGAATTTTTTTCAAAAATAGTTCGATCACGCACGTGAATTGCATGCAAATTTATGGTTGAAATTATGCGGTGCTCTAAGTACGTAACCCGATACCACCACCAACAAAAAATAAAAATTAAAAAATCATGGCCTCCCATCTTAGCCCAATTTGCACCCCAAACCACCATTACAAAAATGGCGTTGGGGGAGATACATAAAATTGAATTATACATCTTTGTTGAATCCATTCTAGAGGAGGTTTAAACCTTTTGACTTCCTCATAAGCCATTTCAATGCTTGCTTTCTCATTCTTTATGGCATTAAAATGCTTGCTTGAATAATTTGACATATCAATTTGAGCTCTCAAATTCAAAATATGAGAGATGGCTAAAAAGTGAGCTCTCAAATGGGCTCTCATTTGAGCTCTCAAAATTTGAAATTCTCAAATTCACTCTCAAATCTAGCAGCTGCCAATTTTTTGGCAAGTCTCTTAATTCCTCTCTCTCTCTCTCATCTGCAACCACAAGTTTGTTGCCATTTGCAAAATCTGACCTCAATCTATCTCTCTCTCTCTCTCTCTCTCTTTCTCTCTCTCTCGCTCTCTCTCTCTCTATATATATATATATATGTATGTATGTTTATATATCTAACTTTCCAGAAAACAGAGCACCAAACCCAAATGGGTTTGATTATTGATGAAGAAGAAGAACGAGACGACGTCATTCTGGTTCCACCCTCCAATTTCTCCATGGTCGAAGATAGCATTTACATATTTGGTTTCCTCAATCCTCCAATTTCCCATTTCTTGAAACCCTCAATTCGAAATCAGTCATGCAAGTGTTGTTATATATACAATATATATATATGTATCTTAATGATTCACAATTTTCAAAACCCATACATACAAGTTAGCAGTTGCAGAGAGAGGGGCAAGCTTGAGAGTTGAGAGATAGCAGCTGAAGCTTGCGAACGGCAAACCCAAACTGGAACAGCGGGCGATTGAAACTGAAAGATATGGGTTTTGATTTTTTGAACAATCTGAAATGATATGCCGATATGGGTTTTGAACTTTTGATTCTTGCAAACAGATAGATAAACGGAAATATATGGGTTTTGAACTTCTGATTCTTGTAGATTTTGTAGTTTGCAGTTGTAGAGAGAGAGAGAGGGTAAGTTCAGAGGCAAGAACGAGAATAAAGATGGAGGCAATTGGGGAGGCTGAAATGATTTGCCCTAAAAATATTATGTGGGACATAATGCAATGGTTAAGATAGGAAGATAATTTGGAAATCAACGGTCAGAGTTAAAGTAGGATTAGGAAGCTAGAAGTGGGTTGGACTTGGTTCAATGGAGGCTGAGAATTGCTAAAATATAGCATTTTGGATTAAATGCACTATTGGAGCAGAATTGCTAAAATGTAGTATTTTGACACTGTAACTCCTCTCAAAATATAGATTTGGCAGCCTAAAATGACATTTAGCATTGGAGATGCTCTAAGAGGTCAATTCCATAGCATTAGTTTTATTCATATTCAATCACTTTTATATTTTGCTTCAATGTGTTTGGCTGTTTAAAAATCTCAGTTCCAGATGGAACTGGCTAGCGTGCCTGGAACTGCTTTAATTCCAAAGAAAATCCAAACAATATTTTAGTTGAAAATTGCAAAATCAGGTGATTAGAGAAGAAGCTTGGAATGACCACTTCTAAGGTTCTTTTTGCCTTTTGAGAAAAGGACTTGGGGAGAATTCTATGGCTAAGAATGGAGGAAACAAAAGTGCATGACTTGAATGTAACAAATTGAAAGGACAATTGCTAAAAGGAAAGTAATGAAAGTACTGGACTTGAAATTAAACATAATTGAAATACATTGTAGGAATGTAACTTGAACTAAAATTGATAGATAAAAGCAAAGTGTTGTTTGATGCATGTGTTGAACAGGGTTTGCTTGCTACGCCTAAGTGTTTTATTTATAGAATTTTCCTATTGCAGACAGTTCCAACAACAACAGAGATGCTCCCATGTCTTCCCTAGCTTTCTCGTAGTGTTGATATGTGTAAGACCATGTGTTCCTGTGATCTGCAACTTTTGAGGAGTGGTCTTGGTGGTTGAATGCATGTTGCAAGTCTTTATTCACATTCTGGAACTACTAGGTGGAAAGGACCACAACCTTGCACGATTTCAGCAACTTCCCATAATGGGAGTTGCATGATTTAAGCAGTTATTGACCACTTATGTGAGGACCGGTTTCATTTTTTCATTTTCTCTCTTTTCTTTTTCCATCATTTTCGGGTTTCGGGTCATATGAGATCAGGTCGGGGTCAAGTGTTCCTGAATTATTTCCAACACTTTACATTTATTAATTTTGGGATATATTGGAAATATTTATTTTATTTTGAAACATTTGCGTTATTTTTTTTTGAAATATTTTAATTTTGGGCCTTTTTGCGATTTTTGAGTTTGGCGAGACCTATAGGAGATATTTTGGACAAAATATACATATATGTCTATTGTGGAGAGAAAAACTCTTATTTCTCTCCCTACGCTTTTATTCTTTTTCTTTTTCTTTTCCTTTTATTTCTTTTTTTTTTTTATCTTAGCTTCATGGGCTAATTTCATCTCCTTCCGATCAGATTTTGCCGACACCGTAGAAGAGAGAAACGACGGGGACACTAAGGGCTTCAAAACCTTTGTCTTTATTTTGAGTTTAGAGCATTTTTGGGATTTTGGGGTGAGTTCGGGTTTGGATTTTGAGGCGGCCGTAGAAGACTTTATCGTTCCTCTCGTCATCCTTGTCAGTTCTTCGATTTTATTGCTTGATTGGAGTACTTTTGTTTTTGGAGTTTTTGGGATTTTCATCCTAAATGAGGTAGGAGTGTGATGCATATATAAGGCTATATTTCTTTGAGTTTTGTGAGTTTAGATTGTGTATACGTGCATATGTGTGTGTGTATAGAATTCTATATTTGATTTAAAGAGGCTTTAAAATGGTAAATTAATGATATAGTTATTAATGATATGCTTAATATGTTTATTGGATTTGTTATTGTGGTATTAGTAGGTAGCTAAGGCGCTTACTATATTTTGTAGGTTACATATATGTGTATAAATGTTATGTTTACTTTTGAGGTTATGTGAATGATGTTGTTAGCTTACTTTTGGAAGTATAACTATGTGGATATCAAAGTTATATTGGAATTGATAAAATACTTTCATGATTACATAGAGTTGATTATGATCATATATTACTTTAGATGTTGTCATTACATTAATGAGTATGTCATGATAGTATTGGACTTTAAGACATGATTTGTGTGGAAAACATGAACTTATGTGAGCTTGTGAAGTGCAATTTGATTATATATTAGTATATGCTTACCTTATAGAATTGGATAATTATTTTTGAGATATTCTAGGGGATTATTATACGGTTTGATCTGTAACAGCTAGGGCTTGGCATTAGCAGGCGAGCTCGAGCTCTCCAACTTTATAATGGCCATTAGGTTTGTTCCCTGCAGTTTAGTAGACCGAAAAAAACATTATAAATGGTTGGTTACAAGCGGTTTTATTGCTTAAAAACCACTTTTACCGGTTCATGCAATATGCATAATTGGGGGTGCGTGTGTATCAATATATCCTCTCTTTTGTTGATTTCAAATTTATTTTTAAGTTAGCATCCATGTGTAGTTGCAACTTGGCTTGTTGTTGTTATTCCAATTCCCGGTTTTGTTTCAAGTTGGCATCTATGTGTAGTTGTGACTTGAGTACTTATTTTAGTTCATTTGCTATGCACATGCTTACTAGAAATGAAATGGATGTTGTATATTTGTTGAGGTTCATATATTGATTATATGATGCCTTTAAGATTTTTCCCGGAATTAGACATTAGGAAACATGTCCATTTGCATTGTTGATATGAGATACTCTTGTGAGGCTAAATGAACATAGTTTGTGTATGTAATTAGCATATTTCTTACTAAGCATTGTAAGCTCACCCCTCGTTGATTCCCCTTTCAGGTTGAGGCAAGGCTATTGAGGATAACGCACCTCTTATTTGTTTTGGAAGGTGTAATTTGATGTAAATGTATATTTGTTGCATGTTTTATGGTTTAATTTGAACAAGTAATGTAAAGAGGCCATGAGGGCATTT